ATCCAACCGAGCTTTTCTCAAACTACTCGAGTACGAGCGTGATTTCGAATTTAATTTAACGTCCCGAGCTTCACGAGTTTCGAAATCAAACATGGGCTAGATTTTGAGTTCGAATAGTTATTCAAGTCGAGTTCGAGCATATTGATGTTCAGTTCGATAGGACTCCAGCCTATCGACAACGCATAAATTATAGGAATAAATTATATATATTTTAAAATTAAAAGGTTTTTAGTGCGATTTTATAAATCTATTAATGGTTATTGAAGATTCTAGTATTTATTTGTATGAATTAAAATACTTCTATAAAAGTGTAAAACTAATAAGTAAAAACAATCGTTGTACATAAAACTAATAAGTATTCTCACTTGAGATTTTTAATTGTTCTTAAATGTCCAAACAATAAATAAATCATTCTTTGATCTTCAATTGTACAGGTTAACTCCCTTCACTTTTGGAAAGTGATCCACTTTTGGAAAGAATGACGAAATCAACTTCTTAGGTTCTATTATTACCACTTTGTTGATCCACTTTTGGAAAGAATGACGAAATCAACTTCTTAGGTTCTATTATTCTAGGAAGAAATTGATACATTTAATGCAATTCGCTGCCGCTGCCAGATAGCTCGAATATTAGCCTGCCACATAAGTCCTAGGAAGAGTCCGACCTCTCTAGAACTCCGCTCAGGCTCGAGGTCTGCTATCCAGCCTGGCCTGGCTATGGATTCCTTTGGACGGATTCCTAATTAGGCCTAGCGGTTATTACTTATCATAACCCCGATTAATGGGCTTATCCCGTTGATGTGCTTATCTTAAGATGGTTCTTGGGTCATGGTTGCAATCATATGTACCATCAGTTGTACATAATCTTCAATTGTTCTCTCTTACACGTCGACGTAATAAAGAAATCATTTTCTAATCTTCAATTGTATAATAAATAAACCATTCTCTAATGTATAATTTTACTTTTAATATAATCATTATAAATTTATAATGATAAACAGTGTTTTATTATATACTGAAATATTTAATTAAGAACTAAATAGATTTACAAACCTAAAAATAATAATACTCCGTACACAATAAATAACAGTCACAGCACAATAAATTACGGAGTAAAACTTAAAAGTCTAAAAGAGTAATGAACTAATACGGAGTAAATAATAATACCTTCTCACCTGGAGGCTGGAGCTTGAGGCATCACCGCAGAATCAAATTCGCCAATTGCTCAATTCAGATAGGAAAGCTCAGAGCTGGACAGGGAAGATGGCCGACGCAGCGGCGCAGGGCGCTTGACACGTGGAAGGCGGCGCGGCTTCTGGCCGCATGTCTTCATCTCTTAGACATTTGTTCTTCGCAATCTCGCGTAGTTCGGCCACTTCGCATTTGGAAGGCCGCAGGTCTGGTAGGCTTGGACTGGGGTGGGCTGGACATAAATTTTGGGTTGGGCTAATAATTAAAGCTATATGTATATTAATAAAAATAAAAAAATTGGGCTGGGCTGAAGCTCACCTCTGCCCTCACTATGATCCGCCCCTGCGCACGTGTATAAGGCATACTGCTGCTTTGCTGACTGAGTCACCGTGATTTACTCCCCCACCATCCTGTCGGATCGGAGTGGGGGCTCGTGGGGTGGGAGATTCTACATTTTGGATCAAGTGTCTCTGTATCATTGGGGAACGGAATTTATACCCTGCAACCGGCGCACCAAGAGGATGGTGCGCCCGGTTGCAAAACGACGCAGTTTTATACCTAGTTCCATTATTTTTTATTGTTAAAAATTGTAATAACTTTTTTATTTGATATCCGATTTTTATAAATTTTATATCAAATTTTTTTATTTTTCATGATCTATCAAATGAGACCAATATTGCTTATGTAATTTTAACATATTATTTTGAAATTACATTTGATAATATATCATGAAGTTACATCTTCTTCTACGCGAGTTACATCTTAATATACGCGAGTTACATCTTAATGTATGTGAGTTACACCATGAAATAAACCCCTGCTACATCTTTCATTTTTATCATTTGAAAAATAGTGTATGAATATGAAATATAATATACTTATTTTATGTGGATTAATAAAATTTTGTATTAAATTAGCAAAGCAAAAAATTATTTCAGTTATAATTGAATTAATTCAAGAAAAGTACAAAATCACAAATAATTAGATATAACTCACACATAATTACATGTAACTCGCGCATAAAAGTATGTAACTCGTGTATAACAAAATGTAACTCACACATAACAAGATGTAACTCACACATAATAATTTGTAACTCGAGTATAAGATGATGTAACTTCGTATATTATCAAATGTAACTACAAGCTAGAAGCAAAATAAACAAACTCAATATCTTAAAAACCTCTAAAAACATATAAAAGTGATAAAAAAATATATTATAGAAAAAGTGTATGCATATAAAAATATACGGAGTATTATAGAAAATGTATGAATGTAAAAAATTAAAATTACATAGGCAATATTGGTCTCATTTGAAAGATCATGAAAAATAAAAGACTTTGATATAAATTTTATAAAAATAAGATCAAAAATAAAAAAAATTATTAACAATTTTAAGAAAAGGAGAAAAAATAATAATAAAGGGTGAGAGTGAAAGGAGAGTGAGGACGTGTAATAAGAGGTGTTGATGAAGTCTTGAAACCCGTGTGGGCCATGGTCGGAACTGCCAAAATGGCTCCTCGCCCATTTCAACGTTATAAATACTACGTACGTAATACACAAATACTGTACCTCGTACTTCGTATATTATATATCATCAGAAGAACCACTGCTTGAATTGATCATATGGATTTCCGACGAGCAGCTCCAAGGATGAGGAGGCCGAGAAGAGGGGACGTGAAGATCAGAGTTTTCAAGCAACTCCTCACTTCGGTGGTTTCCTTCGGCGCCGCCGCTGCCAGAGGCATAAGAACGATCTGCGACCGCTGCTCTGAGCGGGTGGCTCCGACCTAGGCCGGCTGGTGGTTCGGGTTCGAAGTCTTGACTTAAGCGATAGACTGCATCATAAAATAACGTAGCTTAATGTTATTGTTGAACATTCACATTGTGTTAGCTAGACTTGATTGATGTTAAAGCACGAAGTACAATGTATGTTTAGATAGATTACAAGATCATTCAGCTTATTACTCCGGCTTATATCAAAATCAACTATATAAGGTAGAGACATATTAGAACAAATCAAACTTAAAAACTCATAACAGACTATAACATATTTAAGAAGTTAAGACTAGTTCAAAACAAATTGTATATAGATAGTACTACTTCCGTTCTGGTGTACTTTGACAAGTGCAAAGTAAGTGAGAAATAAGAAAAACAAAAACTGTGTTGTTGATATGTGTGTAGAGGAGAGAGAAATGTGCAGAATCATTGCTTTAATTGAAAAGTGACAAAGTTTTTTGAGACAACCAAAACGGAAAAGTTGACAAAGTCCAATGGAACAGAGAGTAGAAAAATATAAATGTATGATATGAATAGTCAACCAAATAAGATTAGACTTAAACAAAACATAACTTACCAAACTAGATAAAAGTATTATACTAGATATGTTCTGACTTCAGTCGATCTCAATCCAATGAAATATTGTCCACGTTGAACATTTTTGTAAATAAACTAAATCGTATGTAGTATCATAATAGACCAATGTAAAGCAATCTAGAAAATGTAGTTAATCAAACAAGTTTAATATTACTTTCGTCCTAAAAACTTTGCCATTTTTTAAATTTTGACCAGCTATATCTTTTCATTGCAAATTATTTATAATATGAAAATGTTCTTTATTAAAAGTATTTTCATAAAAGTATAAAATTTATAACTTTTGTAATACGTAGTATTATGTAATGACAAATTTTTTTGAGACAGAGATAGTACATTAATTAAACAACTATAATTTTACCATGTAGTTACCACGATTGTATATTTCAAGCGAATGCTCTAACTGTATAATCATATAGTTTGATAATATATAAATTCTGTGATTTAGATTTATATGGATAAGAAAAAGAAAATAATTAAATTTTATTTTTTATATAAAAATAAATGAGATTTATGTAGATAAGAAATATATGCAATAATGAACACAAATTTATTTTATGAACGGAAACGCTGAACTTTCTTAGAGAACAAAATACCGAAGGTTATTAAAGGAAAAATAATTATATAAGTATAAAGATGTCAATTCTCATTCCCGAAGTATGGTCAACATGATTATTTTCCAATATATGATTAGACACATATGAAAAGAAATAAATTTCTAAGTAATTGCCTACCTATTATATGTCATCGACTCATCGTATTTAGAAAAAAATACTCTTTCCGTCCCGTAATTAAGTTATCACTTTTCTTTTTGGTGAGTCCCTAAAATAAGTCCTTACTTTCTGTATTTGGCGAATTATTATCTACATAAAAACAATGTCAAACGGTATAAAACAGTGTCCAAACAGTGCAAAAACGATGTCAAACAATGTCAAAATAGTAAAATTTACCCACCAGTAAATTCATTTCTTTAATATGTGTGAAATTAATGACGTAACTTAATTGGGGGACGGAGGGAGTATTCCGTTTGAATCATATTTTGAACAACATATGCGATTTTAGTCATTATTATTTTCTCAATTATGAGATTTCAATTGAACGTAGAAAGTACCTCTCAACAAACTGCGATTTTTTATATATAACCGGTAGACATCAATTTTAGAAAAACATTTATTAATTTCCTCTTCGTTATACGAACTGGTACAAACACCTAAAATGATAAAGTACTCCGTATTTAAATCGAAGAAAGGAGGTGCATAATAAAGGCATCAGTTTTTACGTGGGTAACAGTTTATATCCATTAAATTAATTAATAAAAATGAATAATTAATAGCCCAAATCAACCAATTCCCCATTTTAAATTAAATTTCCAAAGTTGTTTGGTACCTCGTGGCTCTACAAATCTTTGACTTTCTTACTCCTATCCAAAAACCACAGCGCCTTTATATACGGCAAAACCCCTCTTCTTCCTCCTCTGTCCCTCAACCTTTTCTGAGTTTTCTCTCGCACGCTCTCGCTCAACAAGCAACCATCTCTCTCTAGAGCTCTTCCATGGCTGTCGAAGCTCAACATTTCAATCTGTTCCCTTCCCAGCAGCAGCTTGTAAATCCGGGCAAACCCAATGGTTTCCGGTTCGGGTACAACGCTCAGATCGGTTCCTCGATACCATTTCCTCCGGATTCAATGCTGCCGGGGGTTAATTTCCCCATGAGTCGGACTCTGTTTCAGGGGAAACCGGCGATGAACGCGGACTGTGAGCTGTCTTATCAGCTCCAGCCGGAAGTTTCAAGAAAGCGGATCAGAGACGAGGACTTCGCCGTCCCCGGCGAAGATGTGTTACCCATCATGCAACAATACCAGTCGGAGGTCGATCGGATTGTTTCCAATCATGTAAGGGGATTCTCCTTTGTTTCTCAAAACCTCTGTTATTGGCATTCTTCTGAAAACCCACGACTTACCCGTTTTTTAAATGTTGAATTACAGACAAAGAAGTTAAGAATGGAGTTAGAAGAGAGGCAGAAGCAAGAAACGAGAATCTTGGTCGCAGCGATCGGAGAAGAAGTTATGAAGAAAGTAATGGAGAAAGACGAGCAGATTCAGACGCTTGGGAAGTTGAATTTCGCTCTACAAGAACGGGTTAAGAGCCTCTACTTGGAGAATCAATTATGGAGAGATTTGGCCCTTTCCAACGAAGCCACCGCGAACACCCTCCGCAGCGATCTGGAGCAAGTTCTTGCTCACGTCACGGACGAGCACTTTTCCGGCAGGGCTGCCGCTGGGGTGACGGATGAGGAAGACGTTGAGTCTTGCTGCGACAGCAGCGACTACGCAGCCGATGCTGGGTCCATTCATGTTGAGAGGATGTTGCCGGCAGCGGCGGAGCTCGTGAAAAACGGCGGCGGTAGGATGTGCCGGCGGTGCGGGGAGAAGGAATCCAGTGTTTTGCTGCTGCCATGTAGGCATCTGTGCCTCTGCACGACGTGTGGGTCCACCCTTGTTTCTTGCTGCCCCGTGTGTAATTCCAGCATGAATGCCACAGTGCATGTAAACTTGTCTTCTTGATAATCATCTTTTTTTCTTTAGATACTACTGGTAGTAAATAGAAAAAAGTCTGATTATAATTTTTAATTTTTTTTGTACTGTTTCATAGTTGAAGTATGCTATTGATTTCTTGTAAATTTCCTTGGCTATAGTGTAATCAATTATTCATTCTTTTTTTACAATCTCACATCTTTTCATGATTTACTTTTCCTCAATCAATCCTTTTACCTTTATGAGTTGATCAAGAGTTTTTATAGTAAGTAAATTTGGAAGAAATTGTAAAAAGTATAGCGTATTCATTGACATCGTGCTTTGATATAACACTACAACCGAGTTAATTGAAAGCACTTAATGATAATAATAAATAGTACATAGCATACTTGTAATATACGTAGTATATGTGTGTGTGTGTCTATATATATATATATATATATATATATATATATATATATATATATATATATATATATATATATATATATATATTCCGTAGTAAAGTTAGAGTCGTTTTCATTTTGTGTGAAAATTTGAGATGATATTCTAATTCCATTATGTTTATAACCATGTCATTTTTTTTCACTTTTTTTTAAGAATAATCTAACTTTTTAAGTCTTTCACATAGTAGGTCTCCTTAGAGTTGATATGCTTTAACAAATAATCAGCCATAATGATGATGTTTAATTAGAATGAAATTTTAGTAGGTCATGACTTTTTAAACTCTTTCACACTTGAATCTTAGTGTTTTCCTTTCACCCAAATTACAGGGTTTTAGGAGGAAATCGGTCGGTCAAGATTAATTGAGTTTTACCTTTTTAAATTTGCACATTAATATAATACGGTATGTCCTATTACCAACCAAAATAGGGTCAAACAATATAACCTCTATCAGAAAGGCTTCTTAAAATATTATACAAAGGGGTAGTGGTTTTAAATGTGGGTTTTAGATTGTTAGCCGTGATTAAAAAGATTTTACATATTGTAGTTGTTTGACAAAAGTTGATTTAATTTGTTTATCATTGATATAAAAAAAATTTGTAATTAATTAATTCTAAAATCTCCATTTTTTTTTGAAATACATGGTATATTTGGCTTAGCCAAATAGATATTTTGGTGAACTTTTTATTGCCTAGTACGTAGTAGTTTTTAGTGTTTGAAAATGTCGTTAAAGAAAAAGATTATAGGATAGTGTATGTTAGATAAAAGCTTTAATTTAGTAATGTTTGGTATAACATTATGTTGTAACGATTTAATGTTGAATGTTATAAACTTTAGAGACTTTTTACTAGTAAAAAAGTAATAAAGTAAAGATTTATGCCTACCAAATGAATATAGCTTCTAAGAGTTTTTAGACTTTTTAAACAATAAAAAAGTAAAAAATTTGAGAGATATGTTTATCTAACATGCACTTACTCCATACACATTGGCTTTGAGTCATACTCCTCTTCATTTACTCTTTCCATTTCTTTTTCAATCTATCTCTCTCCTTAAAAAAAATAATTAAACCATATCTTTTCTCTCTCTACCTCACCATTTCCCCATCTCACTCTATCTCTCTCCTAATGGAGAATTCCGGTTAATGGAGAGGAGCTAAATCATGTTTTAAATTAGAATGAAAGTTTGTGGTTTTATTATACTATTTTCCATCAACTCCAAACAAGTTAACTTAATAAAAAATTGTCTTATTTTCTTGTTGGTAATAAAAAGTACTCTTTAGATTCCATTTTTAATGAGAAAGCACGAAATTTGTTTAGATTTAAAAAAAAACAAGAAACTTTTTTTCTGAAATAAAGGGAGACACAAGTATTGGTGTAGTTGAAGGCAACGCATGCCTGGCCCACACAAAGTGTTTTTGTGTGATCGATTTGTAATTAAATCTATATTAAATGCAATTTTAGGGGTTTGGCTGTGCTCATGGGTGCATCTTGACGTGACACAAAGCAGGTCCCAATCACACAGAAAGTAATTTGCCCCAACGAGCGTGACTTTAGTGGTTGACCGCGTGTACTACAAGAAATAGTGAAAATATTGTGCCCTTTATTTCCTTTATTATATTTTATTGCATAGGTACTTTCTCATTTCGTTAAAATTAGCTCATCTATCATTTTTTATCTGTCTTACTTACATTGTGTCATACTAAATTTGAAAAATTTTACGATGTTAAATCATTCTTATCTTATTGTTTCTTTATTAATTCAATATCAAATACATAAAACAATTTTTCTAAATAATCACACCACCACTTTATGCCTCAATGTTAGAAGGACGAATGTAGTATTATTTTATTATTTTTCCTTATATGTCCCAACGGTGAAAATGTCTAGACTCTTGTTTAATTTCCTAGTATCATTAGTATATATATACATGTTGCCTTCCACTACTTTTCTCTATATATACCGGGATTTTCAAAATTCAAATTCTGACAACGATGATGACGATAACGGCATTCAACACGTGAATTGTAAAAAAAAGGATGTAGACCCCGCATTCGGTCAAAAATGATCTGGATCATAGTATGATCGCTCTCAATTATATGTCTGGCCGGTGTTGGGACAATTAGGGATGAGACTTGTTTTAGAAAGTAATTGCATTGCAGTTTAGTCAATGGTTAGCTATCATAACTTCACATGAAAACAGTGAATGCAATTTAAAAGAGGTGGAGTAAATAAATTTACTTATTTACCCATGTTTTATGATGTGTTCCCAATACTACATTGGGCAATGTATGCAAGTGACATAAAAAAGATTGACAAATGCACGGGTTCTTTCTATTGATGGTTGAAAATGAAAGCCAGAAAGTAATGAATGTGGAGATTTGTTTATTAACTTTTTTATGCAACCTCTTTTCAAAATTATAAAATTAACAATTTCCTTTACCTATAATACGTAGTTTCATAGATATGGGGGAATGAATCAGTCCACCCAAAAAATGATGCTGGGGTGCAATGACAAAGAATCCTACTTTAGAGATTGTTGATAGGACACCGCATTTGGCAAAGTGGCCCTCCATGAATTAGGTCATTTGCAGCACCACATTTGTCATTTAACAATTGCATGACTCATGAATTTGTCTTGCTCATTTATGGTGACTTAAAAGATTGGATGGAGGGTAGCAATTCCATAATGAATTTAGCACTCCCATACACATTATATTGTAGGTCCTAGTCAGGTAGTACTTATAATTATTTTCATTATGTATTTATTAAAAGCTTGAATTCAACCACTGCATATCCTTTCAAATAATTTACACAAATCACATGGGTTATCTTGTACTCTAAAGGTTTTCTTTAATTTTTTTAAGGAACATAGACTAAAATAGTAAAATACTCAATAGTGGGAGAGAAGATTTTAAAAAGATACTGTAAACACAAAGAAATGCTTTTCCCTCACTTATTATTTTACCAATTTTTCCTTTTACTTTATTATTGTACGTGTCGCCAAATTTGTTAGTGTTTTATGAAAGGAGGGAGTAAAATATACTATCTCCGTAACATGGAGCTGTTCTCATTTCAAAAGTAGGTGGATTATGAATAACGAAAGATGATATAGATTATTGATGATAGAACGCGCACGGGTAGCTCAGTTGGTTCAGTGGTGGGAAATTTGGACCAAGTGACCAAGGTTCGAAACCCGCAGCGACCGTGTGGAGGTCAATGAACCTGAAATAAGGTTGGGCCTCTGGTGCGCACGGGAAAAAGATCTACCATCATTGGGCCGACTGAGTCACCGTGATTAACATCCTCCCAAAAATCCTGTCGAGTCGGGGTATGGGGGGCTCCTGGGATGGGAGATTCCACCTTTTTTTGGACCAAGATTATTGATGATAGGATGGAAATATAATGGAATATTGTGATGGAATGACTGCTAAATAAAAAAAGTAGTTGTAATGCTAAATTTGTTCTCATAAAAAAATTTGTTAATGTTTTATGAACGGAGGGAGTAAAATATACTAAATTGACATATGTTTTTGTAAATGTCATCCCTGACGTTTATAAACAATCTCCCGTTCTGAACCACCAATAAATTAATCAGGGATGGCATTTACAATAAAATCTGTCAATTCGAGGGTGACATTTATAATTTCGAAAACACGGATCTGATATTTCAATATAGTGACTAATTGAGGGATAAAAAATATGATTTTCCTTTAATGAAAAGAAATTGTTCAAAATATAATTAATTATAGACATAATGTATAAATACAATTAATTATGTTTATTTGCAATGTAAGGATGTATTTAATTGGATTGAAATTTTCTGGCATGTTGGTTTGTTCTGTTTAATCTGGTATAGTTGAGTTTGGTCTGTTTGAGTCTGGTTTGATCTTAACTGGTCTTGTTTGGTTGGGTAAATGTTTTTTCCTTGTGTACTTTATAATTCTCTAAGTCTAGTCAGATTTGTTTAAGTATATTAGTCTTGTTCGAAAAGTTTAAGTGTAATCTGATCCAGTCGTGTCTGGGATTGAAATAAGTCTAATCGGGAGTAAATTAGTCTTACTTTGGAAATGCTCTCACCAATTTTTGCACTCTTTCTATATTTCATCCTATTTATGGAATCCTCTAAATTGTTACGGAGTAATTGATAGTCGCAACAAAGAAAACGAGAAAAAACAGAAAAAAGAAAAAAAAAATATACTAAGAAAAGTATAACGTAGCAAATACGTAGTAAAGAAAATTAATGATCTGCATATATGACACCAACTCTGATACAATGACAAAATTATGACTGTTTTTTCATTATATTAAAGTACCCAATATTGCGATAGATATACTATATATACCAGTTTAATATATTATTTACTATCCTTGATTTGAGACCAATACAACGTATCAGATATTATAAATAAATGTACATGACTAAAAAATGTATGACAAATATACACAATTCAATGTTCTGCTGTTTTAAAATTTTTAAATTATACACTATGATGAACGTTCTTTAATCAATTTTAAAATGGCTCTTTCTAATAATATCCGAGATATTTTTAAAAAAAAAATCGAATTATTATCGACAATTAATAACTAAATATTGATTATGAACTACTTCAAAAGTGATATTGATCGAACCGTTTAATAAAATTCACAAATAATGTCAGTACATAAACCGGATAAAAGAAGCACTAGAAATTGTTATAAGCGATCTTTTATTAGTCGTACTAATGTTTAGATGGTTTGTTTGTAGTATGGTACGTATGAAACTTTAGTGGAATAGTGGTAGATAAACGTTATTAAAAAAACAC